CTGTGCAACCTGGCTCTGGTGATGCACCAGGAACCTCTGAGCATCATTCCCCAAGGCTGCCCTTGAACGTCACATCCTCTAATTTTACAGAAATGCCGATTTTCACGGTGACTCACAAGAAATGACTCTCCAAGGAACATTTATTTTTTTAATATTTATTTTTCAGTTGTTGTTGGATATAATACCTTTATTTTATTTTATTTTATTTATTTTATGTAGTGCTGAGGATCGATCCCAGGGCCTCACATGTGCTAGGCAAGTGCTCTACCGCTGAGCCACAACCCCAGCGCCGTTTTATCTCTAACAACTTTTCTACCTATAAGGGAAGGGAAACACCAAAATATCTTAAGTAGAGAGAAGAACAGTTCCTGAAATTTGGACATTAGAAATAAACTGCACACTAAAGCTATGATCTGAACACAAGCAATATGTGTGAAATGTATAAATACATATGTATATTCAATTGAAATATACTTGTGTGCATGTCTATATATTCACTGCATACTATTCATGTGCCAGACTCTAATGCGTGTTGATTTGACAGTGGACAGGCAGACACCAAATAGCCCCCAAAGCCCTTCCTTTCACTGTGTGTCAAAGATGCAAGAGATTATATCACAGATTAAATATTAAGAATAAAGATTTTTTTAAATCTAAAAAAAAATATTGTTTAGGATCCAAATCCTAAACATCCATGTAGTCATGGTTCAGAAGCCCAAATTACTTACTTTTTGGCTATTTTATTTATTTATTTATTTATTTATTTATAATTTATTTTTTAGTTTTTCGGTGGACACAACATCTTTGTTTGTATGTGGTGCTGAGAATCGAACCCAGCACTGCGCACATGCCAGGCAAGCACGCTACCGCTTTAGCCACAATCCCCAGCCCCTACTTTTTGGCAATTTTAGAAATTAGATCTTTACTATTGGTCCTTTAAGAAATGAAAAAAATTCCTGACCTGTGGTCTAAATGTTATTAGTTTAAAACAATCAAGTCTGTTATTGAAGTAAGAAAGTACTCACAGACAATATGTTAATGAATATAGCAGTATTCCAATAATTTTTTCTTTCAACAAAACAGGTAGTTGGACCACAGAATAGATTGCTGGCTGCTGCTGCTGCTTTCTTTTTTGGAYCAGGGATTGAACCACAGGCACTTAATCACTGAGCCACATCCCTAGCTTTTTTAAATTTTGAGACAGGGTCTCACTAAGTTGTTTAGGACCTTGCTAAATTGAGGCTGGCCTTGAATTTGTAATCCTCCTGGATTGCTGGCTTCTTATTTGAGTTTGATCAATGATTTTATCATGTATCAAGATTTATAACTAAATCAAAAAACTTAAGTCCTGGATAATCTACATAAATGTTTTTCAATTTCATATTCTTCTGGTAGATCCTGGTTCAGTTCATATATAATACATTTAAATTATCTATGCTCAAATTCATAACACCATTTAGCTTTTGATTTCTAGGAATTATTTTCATAGAGATGTTATACATATGTGATCCATGTAACAATTAGCTGGGATAATTTTGTTAGAAATAATTTTCCTGTTTTAGGTCTTACCTGAGGGTGTACATAATATAAGAGCTGCACTTTAAAAGGGGAGTYTGCCTGGTGCAATGGTGCATGCCTGTAATCCCAATGGCTCAGGAGGCTGAGGCAGGAGGATAGCAAGTTCAAAGCCAGACTCAGAAAAAGCAAGGTGCTAAGCAACTCAGTGAGACCTGGCTCTAATAAAATACAAAATAGGGCTGGGGGGTGCAGTTCGGTGGTTGAGTGCCCCAGTACACCCCTCACAAAATAAATAAAGGAGAGTATTTTTTCTCTTTGATTTAAAAAAACCTAAATTTCAAAAATGCCCAATATCATCTTTTTTTTTAACCTTTATTTATTTTTTTTCATGTGGTGCTGAGGATCAAACCCAGTGCCTCACATGTTCTAGGCAAGCACTATGCCACTGAGCCACAAACCCAGCCCCCCAGTATCATTTTAAGTCAATTTTGATAAACCACATTTTTTTCCTAAGAAGATAATTTACTCTTTAGAATTTTAAATATACTGAAATAAACTTATACCTTATAATGAAATTTTTATCTCCTATTATTTATAAACATGTCCTCTTTCTTAAATAATGATGCCGTGATATAATAATWATTATTTTTTTCCTGGGCCAGATTTGCCAATATCTACTTGATATTAATATATTTTAGCAAAAATATTAAAAATCATTACTACTTTATTTCAAAATCCCTAAACTTCTAGACATATTCATTGGTTTCATGGAAAATAAACAAAACTTTAGAGTCTCATGCTCTACCAAATGAGCTAGCCAGGCACCTGTAAAATTTTAAAAGAAGAATTTCCAATKAGTAGAGGACTATCAACATTCCAAAGTTCTGATATACGGGCATTTTGGAATAGGCCCTCATTTCTATATTAATTTTTAATCATTTTAGGGATTTTACATGAGTTTATAATTTTCAGAGAGGTGACAAAATGTCACTATGATGATTAATAATATAAARTGGATCGTTATAATCAAGTAGAATCAAGTGATAATGTCTAGCATCATTAATACAGGTTGAGTATCCTTTATTCTAAGTGTTTGAGACTAGAAGTGTTTCAGATTTAGGATTTTTAAAAAATTTTAGAATACTGGCATATGCATAAGTGAGACATCTTGAGGATGGGATCAAAGTCTAACCACTAAATTCATTTTTCCATATACATAGCCTAAAGATTATTTTGTGTAATATAGTCATGAGACACAATATGACAATGGTCCTATAAGACAGTATTGCCTACTGATATCATAGCTGCCTTAATTTGTGTAACTACACTATGATGTTTGCACAACATCTAAATTGCCTAATGGTGCATATCTTAGAAYGTATCACTGCCTTTAAGTTATACATGGCTTTATTTTATTTTTTCAATATATTTTTTTAGTTGTTGATGGACCTTTGTTTTTTTTTAAAGTATTTATTTTTTAGTTGTATTTGGACACAATACCTTTATTTATTTATTTTTAAGTGGTGCTGAGGATCAAACCCAGGGCCTTGCACATGCTAGGGGAGTGCTCTACCACTGAGCCACAACCCCAGCCCCTATTTATTTGTTTATTTATATGTGGTGCTGATAAKCAAACCCAGTGCCTAACACATGCTAGGCAAGTGATCTACCACTGAGCCACAACCCCAGCCCCATCATAACTTTATTTTAAATGCACATATTTTGACCTGTCACATGAAGTCAGGAATGAAATTTTCTACTGGTATCATTATGTTGGTGCTCAAAAAGTTTCCAATTTTGAAGCATTTCAAATTTGGGGTATTTTTKGGGGGAGAAAAGGGGCACCAGTTTTAAACCCAGAGGCATTCAACCACTGAGCCACATCCCCAGCCCATTTTTTATTTAGAGACAGAGTCTCATTAAGTTAATTGGGGCCTTGCCAAGTTGTTGAGGCTGGCTTTAAACTTGTTATCATCTTGCCTCAGCTTCCCAAGGTTCTGTGTGTGCCACTAGGTCTGGAAAATTTTGGATATTTAAAAAAATTTTTTTTAGTTGGACACAATACCTTTATTTATTTATTTATTTATTTATTTATTTATTTATTTATTTATTTATATGTGGTGTTGAAGATTGAACCCAGTGCCTCACATGTGCCAGACAAGCACTTTTCCACTGAGCTACAACCTAAGCCCCAAATTTTGCATTTCTGGATTTGAGATGCTGAACCTATACTGGGAAAACTCAACATTATATATTTTTAATTTATACACATCAACTACATGAATCCTTTTGTTTAACTCAGATTTACTGGAACTAATAGAGATAGAAAAACAAGATAAATGGGCTGGGGGCTTAGCTTAGTAGTAGAGTACTTGCCAAGCATGTGTGAGGTCCTGGGTTTGATTCCCAACACCACAAAAACAGATAAATGCTTCCCAAGAAAAACAATTTTAATAATCTACAAATTATTCTATACCCTTCAAAAATCCAAAGTCATAACAAATTATAGGGAAGTTGCTCTGAAACAGGAGTTAGCAACTTAAAAAAATATTTTAGAATCTGGATAATAGAATTCTTTGTAACTATCCAACTTTGCTAGAGTAATGCAAAAGTAAMCAGACACTATATAAAGAAATATATTTTAGCAGAACTCCAATAAAACTCRTGTTTTAAATCCTCTTTTAAAAAATTCTACTATATTTTAACCAGAAAGGATTATTTTAAACTAACAAAGTATAAGAAATTACATGAAGCTTTTATAAAATTATTATCAGTATATGGACTTTATTCTCATAATAATTCATCCATAGTAATATAAATAGTATAAAATAGTATCTATTACTTACTAAACAGAGACAATGTGAAAAAGCTTTCCAACTTTTCTCATTTCCAATAATGGCACTATAATATATTTATTGTACTTTGCACAGGACTCCCAGAAGGACAAACGTTGTGACCAATGTCATACAGGCTGTAAATAATAGAATGGAAACCACAAGTTTTTCTACCTTTGTTAGATCAACAGGTGCTTCCTGTGATGTGAGCTTTCTTGAGTTAATAATTGATACAGGTGGAAGACTTTTATAAATAAAGCATAAAAAACAAAGACATTTCTACATTCTCTGAATTTTCCTCTAAGGTGACTGACTATACTAACAATTTATGTACAGAGAAACAAAGATTTTCTTACACTACGTAAAAATAAATTAGAAATTCTTTGAATAGGAACAATATTTGGATCATTGCTTAAAAATTTGAAATATTATTTATATTCTGAAGGGTTTCACACATAAACCATTTAATGCCTTAGAAAAACCATATTTAAAAGCATTCCCACATTCTTTTCTTTTCTTTTTTTTTTCTTTTGGTACCGGGGATTGAACCCAGGGGTGCTTAACCAATGAGCCACATCCCCAGCCCTTTTTACCTTTTATTTAGAGACAGGATCTTACTGAGTTGCTGAGGCTGACCTTGAACTCATGATCCTCCTGCCTCAGCCTCCCAAGCTCCTGGGATTACAGGCCTGTGCCACATTCTTTTCAAATTGTTTGCTATGAATACACTGATACACTACACACTGCCCACTGCATATATGTGCATTTMTATAAAACTTTCATCCATAAAGTTTTTTTCTAGTTATGAATTCTTTGATGTACTTTAAGACTTGACCTAAGTCTAAAGGATTTCCCACATTTATTACATTCAAAAGGCTTCTCATCACTGTGAATACTCTGATGTCGAGTAAGTCGTCCACAGACAGTAAAGGCCTTCCCACATTCCTTACATTCATAGGGTTTCTCACCACTATGAATTCTCTGATGTACAGTAAGTTGATGGCCACTCTTAAAGGCTTTCCCACACTCTTTACATTCATAGGGTTTCTCACCAGTATGAAGTTTATGATGCATTCTAAGGCTTTCAATATGACTAAAGGCCTTACAACAGTCCTTACATTTATATGGTTTCTCACCAGTATGAATTCTCTCATGTCTAACAAGGTCTGAGGTACGACCAAAGGCCTTCCCACATTCTTTACAGATGTAGGGTTTTTCACCGGTATGAATTTTTTGATGTGTCCTAAGGCTACCACCATGAATAAAGGCCTTCCCACATTCTTGACATTTRTAGGGTTTCTCACCAGTATGCATTCTCTCATGTTGAATTAGTGCTGAGGCACGAGTGAAGGCCTTCCCACATTCATTACATTCATAGGGTTTCACACCAGTGTGCATTCTCTGATGTGGAATGAGTTGATAGATACGACTAAATGTCATCCCACATTTTTCACATTCATAGGGCTTCTTGCCTGTATGAATTGTCTCATGTTGAACAAGATTTGAGGCACAACTAAAGGCCTTCCCACATTCTTTACATTTACAGGGTTTCTCACCAGTGTGAATTCTGTGATGTACTCTAAGATCTATACTGCGACTAAAGGTCATCCCACATTCAAGACATTCATAGGGTTTTTCACCAGTATGAATTCTGTCATGTTGCACAAGGTGAGAAGCTTGACTAAAGGTCTTCCCACATGCCTTACATTCATAGGGCTTCTCACCAGTATGAATTCTCTGATGAATTTTAAGTTTTCCACCTTTACTAAAGGCCTTTCCACATTCATGACACACATAGGATTTCTCACCAGTGTGAATTTTTCCATGTTGAGTCAGGTAGGAAGCACGACCAAAGGCCTTCCCACACTCTTCACATTGATAGGGTTTCTCACCTGTATGTATTCTCTGATGAACTTTAAGGTCTATRTTACGACTAAMGGTCATCCCACATTCCTCACATTTATAGGGTTTTTCACCCGTATGAATTTTCTGATGTTGTAACAGGTTAGATGCACGATTGAAGGCCTTTCCACATTCCTTACACTCATAGGGCTTCTCACCAGTATGAATTCTCTGATGTACTATAAGGTCTGTATGACGAGTGAAGGCCTTTCCACATTTGTCACATTCCTTGGATTTCTCACTATTGTGAATTCTTTGATGTAGAGTAAGAGATGAATATTTTCTATAGAGGTGTACTTTCTCAGAGCTGATTTTTTCATATCTTGACTCCAAATCTAAAAGAAATAAAAATCTTTTGTCTTCCTGGATGCCAAAAAATAAATGTTCTATAGATTCTTAAAGATTTTTAAATGCTACCAATTAGAGATGAATACTTGAAAGAACTCTAAAATCAGCTCTTTAACTTGCAGTTATTAYGATAATGTCTCCATAACATTCACTTATCACATTTTATTACAGTGATTAAATGTATTCCTTCTATATCATTCCCATATACAATGTAAATATATTAAAAGCAACTATTTATTGATTTTTAACCAATTATATTTCTCCTTAAAAATAATATTATGATTCCTTCCTATGCACAGCCATGTAAACTTTTTGTGGTTTTCCATATCAAATGAAGCACTAAGTTTTTATTATCTTTGCTGAGATTTTCTTATTGTTCATTCTACAAGTGTTTCATCTATTTTATGCCTTCATATTTTTTCTCAGGTATTCTCTCACTTTCCCTTTTAATCAGGGTTGATTGTTCTGGTAATTCCCAGATGAGTCTGTCAGTGAATTTTCAGGTAAATACTAGGTTTATACCCTAATGAAAATCTTAAGGAATTCTGAGCTTCTGGGTACTTCAGAGAGAAAAAAAAMAAAAAACAGAAAGTGATCTAAACAGGAATCTRGAGGAAGAGTGATAGGAAATATATGAAAAGGAATTGAAACATTTACCTTGGAGGATAATAATCTAGAAGGAATAGCTTAGYTGGGCACCATGGCATATGCCTGTAATCTCAGCTCTTTGGGAGGCTGAGGCAGGAGGATTGAAAGTTTGAGGGCAGCCTGGGAAACCTTACAAGACACTGACTCAAAATTTAAAACAAAATTTTTAAAGATCTGGGTATACCACTGGGTTCATCCTCAGTTCTGAAAACAAAACAAAAAACAACAAAAATTTAAAACCACTAAACGACAAACAAACAAATTTCAAAGATGTGATTATAAAGAAAAGATGAATAGAATATAAAAAGGAAAAAGAGACTGGGGCTGCGATTATGGCTCAGTGATAGAGTGCATGTCTAGCATGTGTGAGGCACTGGGTTTGATCCTCAGCACCACATAAAAATAAACAAAGTAGGGCTGGGGTTGTGTGGCTCAGTGGCAAAGTGCTTGCCTAGCATGTGTGAGGCACTGGGTTCGATTCTCACCACCACATATAAATAAATGAATAAAATAAAGGTTCATCAACATCTAAAAATATTTTTAAAAATAAAGTATTGTGTCTATCTACAACAAAAATAATATTAAAAATGAATTAGGTAAAATATCTGGGGAAATGATGCTGATAACACACTAAACTTGATAAAAGCTTACAACCAGAGTAGGCTGGGGTTGTAACTCAGTGGAATAGTATCTGCCTAGTATGTGTGAGGCACTGGCTTTAATTATCAGCACCACATACAAATAAATAAAATAAAGATCCACTKACAAATAAAAAAGTATTTTTAAAAAAGCCCAGTGAATGCCAATTACAACAGGTGAAAGGAAAACCTGCCTAGACAAATAAACTACTGAAAAATACAGATAAAAAAGTCTTGAAAGCAGAAAAAAAATGTCTTCTTATATTCAGAGGAACAATGATTCTAACATCAGAGTTTGCTCATTAGAAACTGTGGAGGCCATAGCTGAACATGGTGGTGTATACCTATAATCCCAGCTACTCAGAAGGCTGAGGCAAGAGGATCCCAAGTTCAAGGCCAGCCTTGGCATCTTAGTGAGACTCTATCTCAAAATAAAAAAAAAAAAGTCTGGGGTTGTAGCTTAGTGGTAGAGAGCTTGTCTTGCATTGTGAGGCACTGGCTTTGATCCTCAGCACCACATACAAATAAAAAAATAAAGATAATTAGGATTACACTGGTTGTGTAAGCCTATATCATGTACAACCAGAAGAATGAGAAGTTAAACTCCATTTATGTATGATGTGTCAAAATGCATTCTATTGTCATGTATAACTAATCAGAACAAATTAAAAAATTGAAAAAATAAATTTAAGTAAATAAAAGCAAGTTTTAAAAAATAAAGGTATTATGTCCATCCACAACTAAAAATTTTTTAAAAAGAATCTTTTCTAATGACAATGGAACAAAACTAGAAAAAAACAACAGAAGGGCAAAACAACCAATGCTTCAGACAAGAATTGGTCAAAAAATCACATGGGAAATTAGAAATTATTTGAAGGCAAATAAATATGAAAATAGAACATACCAAAATTTATGGATGCAGCAAAAGCAGTGTTTTCAGTCTTTCACCATGGAGTATGATGTAAACTATGAGCTTTTCATATATGACATTGTCTTAGCCTATTTTCTGTTGGTATAAAATACTGGAAACTGGGCAATACTTGAAGAATAGGAATTTATTTTGGCACATGGTTCTGGAGGCTGGAAGACCAAAATTGGATAACTATGTGTGGTGAAGGCTTCCTGCTATATAATAACATGGCAGAAAAGTAAAAAAAAACCAAGTTGGACTGTGTAGAAGAAACAAAACACAAAGGATAGCCTTACAACAACCTGCTCTCCAGTTATCTAATTCATTCCTTCAGAAAAGCATTAATCCCTCTTAACAGAATTAACTCTAAAAGGTCTCACCTCCCAATACTGCCACAATAACAACCATATTTCAATACGAGTTTTGGAGGGGAAAAACATGTTTAAACTGTTTTAGATTTTATTACATTGAGGTAGATTCCTAGTTTGTTGAGTTTTTTAATCAGGAAAGTGTACTAAATTTTGTTAAATTATTTTCCTGTACCTTAAGAATTAAGACAATTTTTCCTTTTATCCTGTTAATGTGATGTATAACATTGATTTCATAAATCACTATCCTTGTGTTCAAGAATTAAGACCCACTTGGTCATGGAGTATCATCTTATTAAGTGCTGTTGACTTCAGTTCACTGGTATTTTTGCTGAAGACCTTTGTATCAATATTCATAAGTGATATTGGTCTATAGGTTTCTTGTAGTGTCTTTGTCTGGTTTTGGTACCAAAGTCTCATAGAAAGCATTTGTGGCCTAAGCTCTTACACTTTACCTCTTTGCTCAAATTTCATCTCCTCAGAGATGATCAACAGTTCTTTTTTTTAGTGTGTGTGTGTGTGTGTGTGTGTGTGTGTGTGTGTATTTTAGTTGTAGTTGGACACAATACCTTTATTTTATTTATTTATTTTTATGTGGTGCTGAGGCTCAAACCCTGCACCTCAAATTTGCTAGGTCTGGATTCTATCGCTAAGCCACAACCCAAGTCCTTATCATTAGTTCTTGATCATCTTACCTTACCTAAATTTATCCTATTAATTTTTTTTTGTACCAGGAATTGAAGCCAGGGGTGCTTAACCACTGAGCCACATCGTTAGCCCTTTTTAATATTTTATTTAGAGACAGGGTCTGCTAAGTTACTTTATTTAGGGCCTTGATAAGTTGCTGAGACTGAATTTGAACTTGCAATCCTCTTGCCTCAGCCCCCAGAGCCACTGGGATTACAAGCATGTGCCACCACACCTGGCTGCTTATTCTTGGTTAGTTTCCTTCATAGTATATTTACTACTTGATACTACTTATCTATTTTTTATAGTGCTATTATATGTCTTCCCTAATATATTAACTCCATTAATTTCTTTGCCAAATACAGGAATGAATACACTTTTAGGCAATAAAGCCACATATATAAATCTAAGTGAATACAGGTTTGGAAATCAGTTGGGTCCAAAATACAAGTGAAAGGGCATTAAGAAAGAATTAATGAATGGGGAGGGAAATATGAGCCTAAAAAATTGTGTGGTTAAATAAGGTGAAGATGGAGCTCATTGTAGCTCATGCAGAGTATTTATCTCTTCTCTACATCAGAATCTTTTTCTTTACTATGAATGAATATTTCCAACCAACATTTCAAGTGTGACTCTTCCTTGACTACTTGGGCTGCTGCTTGTAGATGGCTTTCCATAGCCAGATTTACTCTTATTTATTTACCTTTACGCCATTTTCTTGTTTCTTTCTTTACAATCATCCAGGGCTCTTTTCCTTGCTCCAATAATGTGATAACATCTGGCTTAGAAATGGAATGGCCTGTTTAAAAAGAAAAAAAAGTGCAATGCAACATGATACAAAAAAAAATACATTATTGCCAGGCATGGTGGTACATGCCTATAATCCCAGCAACTCAGAAGGGTGAGATAGGAAATTTGAAGCCAGACTAAGGAAATTAGTGAGTCCATGTCTTAAAATAAAGAAAAAGGGTTGGGGATGTATGTCTGTGATAGAGTGCATCTGGGCTCAATACCTAGTACCACAACAAAACTAAACAAACCCAAAATTGTACTAAAGTAAATTAAAGGTCAAAAAAATGTTGAAGCCAGGCATTGTAGTACACATCTGTAATCCCAGTGATTTAGGAGGATTCTAAGTTCAAAGCCAGTCTCAGTAACTTATTGAGAATTAGGGGTGTGGCTCAGTGGTAAAGTACCCCTGGATTTAATCTTCAGTACCCACCCCCCAAAAAATATTGAATGAGATTTTTAAGAAGAGAACGTAAGGAAATTAAAGAATAAAACATTATACTGGGTACACTGATACATGTCTGTAAGCCCAGATACTTGGGAGGCTAAGGTAGAAAGATTACAAGGTTTGAGGCCAGCCTCAGTAACTTAGTGAGACTGTCTCAAAATTAAAACAAAAAGGGCTGGGATGTAGTTCAGTGTAAATACCCTTGAGTCCAATCCCCAATACTGGGAAACAAACAAACAAAAACCATAATATACACATTTGTATCCTCTTTTTCTTTTTTTGGGGGGGGGGTAGCAGGGTACCAGGGATTGAACCCAGGGGTGCTTAACCACCGAACCACACCCCCAGCTCTTTTTTATATTTTATTAGAGACAGGGTCTCACTGAGTTGCT